CCCCCCCGAGACATCTGATGTTTACCAGAATAAATTTGAGGCTAATCAAAAGGTTTTTTTTCCCCATGGTTTCACCACACTGCTACCACATCCAAGTTATTGTGTCAGCCACTGCCAGAGCTGCTCTCCACTTGTTCTGCCAGTACCTTTCTGCTCCCTCTGAAATCACACAGGGCAACGGAGCACGATTAGAGTCCTCCTTCAGTACAAAATCCATCCGCAGACATGCAAACGAACGTTGAAGTACCCAAAACTGGATGTTTTGATTGTTCCTGTTGCAGAGTGTGTCTCCAGGATCACATTTTGCCACAACAACACACCCACAGAATCATATTGTTTCCACAAGGTGAAAGCAATATTAGCTCTGCGATCGCAGCTAGTAATAAATTCAGTTTCACAAAACAGGTCGCAGCAGGTGTTGGCCTGAATTTCACCTGCTGCATTCATTTAACTCACAAAGCTGCTGATGTGCTGTGGGAGTGAAACACGAACACAGGAAACTGGATGACAGAAGCCTGAAAACAAAGAGACAGACAGAAATCTAATGTGAGACTGTATTAGAGTTCAATACATTCATTTTAAGAGTTATGAGTAGTTTGAAATGTGTGTTTGCCTAATATTCATGGTATGAAACAGGTTTTCTTTCAATTGCTGGTAGTTTCCTCCCCTAATGTAAGATTCAGATGAGCTTCTAGAGTTAGAAGTATCACCACGACCTGTTTCAGAGGACAGGGTGTTTTTATAAAATCACTCCAGCTCATTTCTCTTCTTTTCCCTGTTTTTTCGTCTCCAGGAGCCTTGTCCTCCTCCGCTGTCAGACACAATGACACCAGAAGAGGTACAGTAATGAAGGATTTGCATAATTTTACAGAATAGTCTGCTGAATAATTTTAAACATGCTATTTGAATGCTTACTCATAGAGCAAGTGCTGAGTCACAAGACATTATCCCACAAAGTGGGAGCAATAATCTTTGACAGCAGGTTTTTGTATTTGCAAGTGATGCAAGAACCACACAGGCTTCCTGGGGTCATTAAGAGCTCAAATATTAAAAAGTGTTTAAAAAGTCTTATTTGTACTACAGTACAGTAGCCAATAAGATTAATCTTAAAATCAGGGTTTTTTTTAGGTTGTTGTTGTTTTACTGTTACTTTATCTGTGTTTCTGTCTTCGGTACAGGTTAACACAATGGGGTCTAACTCCTCCATGAATAAAAAAAATAAAAATAAAAATCACTTTTTGGTATTAAAAAATGTAAAACGCAAAACTATTTCAGAGGAAAACTTTTGATTGTTGTCTCTCCATAGCATTCAGGTCAAAGTCTCAAAGTCTCCAAAACACACACAAACTGCTCCACTTTCCTCCTCCTGCCACTCGAGCACCTTAAATGCTCATTAAGCTTCAGTGTTTGCTGGCAGGGAGCCTGCAGGGACAAACAAGTATATTATGTTTTGCACATTGATTTGATTTTATAAAGCCCAGTAGGCTTACAAGACTCCAGTAACAGCAAAACAGAGCCAGATAGTAACACAGATAAAGAATCCAACCTGTCTAAAAGCAGCTTTAAAGATGATAAAACAGCCTTTCTTTCTGTCTGTGCACCAAAACATTTCTGAATCCATTAAACATAAAGTATATATAAACTCATCAGAATAACGGGAATTATGGAGATCAAAGAGTACAACCGAACATGTTTGATTCCTTTTTATATTTACAGGTTAATTACTGTAATGTTTATGTTTTGTGATGTATATTAAGAGCTCTATAACCCACTGGAGACTTCCTCCAAAGAAAAGTCCATTTAAATTTAACAGGAGGCTCCACAGTCTGATTATTTCACCATCTTGCTTTATTGATGACGGTGATATGGGAATCCATCCTATTCTGTATAGATTATACTGTTTTACGTCTTTAACACAGTACCACTGTGGGGTCATTCAGTCAGGACAGCTACATGGATCATACAGCTGTAATTGGATTACAAAGATCGTTACATATTTTTAACAACAGACCCCAGTGGTCTCCCAGAAGTAAATAAAAGCTATCTTTATAAGCCCCAGTAGACCTCATCCAAATGCCAAATCACAGCAGTGCGACTACACATAAAAGAACAAGTAGCCATAAAAATATTAAGCTTCATAAATAAAATTACGTCTATGAGGAACATCAGCTAAGACTGCAGCTTATGTCTAAATCTTAAAAATACCAGGCTGGTATTTGCTGAGGGTCATTTTAGCTGCATTGGTCTCCAAGACGGTAATACGCTGGCAGAAGCTCTACATAAATACGAACTATAGAGCAAATGACTTATTTTACCTGAGCAGCAGTTTAAAATCCAGAGATACTCACTTTACAACCATGTGTGTCCAAGAAAAGCATGAAATAACCTTTTGAAGGGAAAGCTGAACTTTTCAGATGTTGCATGCCGAACATGTAGTTATTGCTTGTTCGTGAAAGCATTAAGCAAACATATGACTTTAAATTGTTTTGTCTCATATTTTATTCATTCATGTATTAAAAACACTGTGCAGAAACCTCCCACAGTCAAAATTCAGTGGAAGTGAAAAACCGAATGTACCTTCATGTGTGGAAATGTCACCAAAGAGCAAGAAAAACTGGTTGAAAATGTGCAAGGAGAGAAGTGAAAATCAAAAATGAAGAGCCTCACTTTGACGGGAACTGACACGAGATTAAAATGTAAAATGTGGGCCTGAGTTCATTAGTTCTGACTTACTGTCTCTGCCAGCATATATCAAGTTGCTTTAGACTTATTACCATATGACTGATGCAGGCAAATCTCTATTAGCTTTCGAATCCATCTCAAATGTAGGTCAGCGGTGTTGCAGATCTGTGTCACGTTTGAGGGGAAGACACTGAACTGGGGCACTTTTAAACTGTAGTGTGAGCACAGGCTGAATTTTAAATGAGACATCAAAACAGCATCGTGCCCTCCAGTCCTGTTCTGTCTGCCGCTCCGCTTTTACTCTTCCTGGCACTTTCCCAAACTGCCCCATAACACGGGCCTGTATATTCTACAAGACTGCTGCTGCTGTCACGGCAGGCTGAGGTTCGTAGGTAAAATCCATGGAGTGGCTAAAAGGTGTCAGACATCCTAAATCTCAGAGGGGTTACCGGTGACATGCAAGGACGCAACGCAGGCTTTCAAGGTTTTTTACTGCTCAGACTTCTCTGCGGTGGTAGCTAATTAATTGCTCCATCCTGCAGCCACACACAGACTGTGAAACACACACCTAGAGTTTTACCTAGAGATAGAGCTCATGATTTATGCAACAGTTCTTATTGTTGCCAGATATATTTAAACACATGTGCATGACTCATAGCGAAAACACATCCGACTGTTTCCCCTCTAGTTGAACTCGTATGTTTGAATAGGTGCATTTTTCCCGTCCGCAGAGGGAATGTGAACTAACCACAGCAGATTCACCTCTGTGACCTTGGTTTTATTTGTGGCTGCAGATTAAAGCGTGGGAAGAGGAAGAGATGGACAAGCCGATGGAAATCGACGAGATACGAGTGGACCCTTCCCCTTTTCAGCTGGTGGAGAGAACATCGTTACACAAGGTTGGTGGACAACATGTCTGTGTGAATCGCAGTTTGATAGTCTTTTTGAGACCACCTTGTTTTCGACAAGGTGGTGGATGTTGTACATTAAAAATGTTATTAACGTTTGGAGAAAGACGCGTTTTAAACTGCTAAAAAGTCATTCTACTCTTTAAGTCATCTCTATGTCTACCGGAGCATCACTTCTCGTGCTCCTGGTATTCTGTGATTGTTCAGTATAAATCCTTTTCTTACCTCAATGTGCGTCTGCGATCCATCCTGGAATTTCACTTTAAGGAAGAGAACAAAGTAGCAGGAGCCAAACATGAGCAAAGACTCAGTCGATTCTCTTTTCATTGCACCCTGAGTGAATGCTCAGTGGGTAATAGTTCAGGCAGTTTGCACTTTTTGTTCTCACCTGGACGTTTACATGATAGCGCACAACCCATGACATTTCAAAACAGCAACTGTGTTACTGACTTGATTGTCAAACTCTGTGCTTGGACACTCCAAACTCTTTGCAGCCAGAGACAGAGCTTGCATGTCCAGCGATGACTGATGATTTTTCATGTGTGCTCTCTAAAAAATGTTTGAAGTAGCTCAGAGATGAATAAGGAAAGGAGTTTGAAGTGGTGTTCAACAAAATGGGCAGAGTCATCAAATGCAACAACAAAAGCCTTGTTTTTAAAAACATTGCTTGAAATCACCATGAGTGGTCATAAACGCCAAAGAATGACCACATGAAAGCAATGCTGAAGCAACACATGGTATTACAACAGTAATTCAATAAAACCCTTTTTTACTTCAAGGTGGTTTTAAAAACACTTCACTGTAATATCAACTTCCAAACACTTTCCATACATACTGATATTTCTTTATTAAATTAAAATAACAACATTGACCAACATAACTGTGATTATGATGTTTTTCTATTATCAAGGACTCGTCTGCTGCACTCTCAGCAGCAGTTTTCTTTTTCAGTGTCTTTGATGTTCCCAGTATTATAAGAAATATGAAATCAAATGACCATGTTGTCAACCTCCTCTGTTTTCGAGTCCTATGGCACCTCTATAAAACACTGAGATCCTTCTTACACATTCAGAAACATCATTTCATACACCATTTACTGCATTTTGTCTCAATGAATGCACATTTTTCTTTATAGGAGGTACTGTCTCCAAAGCTTGTTTCCTAAAACAACCATTTCATTGAAATACTGGGGAAAAGCTGTTACCCAGCATGTCAGGGTCCCCCAGAAATATTGCTGTTAGACATCAGATGGCAAATTCCTGCAGTACTAACTGTAACCTGTTAACAGTAAATATAATCTACAGTCATAAAGCAGCTGATTTATTGTTGGTTTACTGTGAGTTTTGTGGCATTTAACTGTAGAAATTACAGAAAACTAACAAGAAAAATTTTTTTTTTCTCAGAAACAGAGACAAAGTTGCTTTATTTTCATTTTATTAATCATTGTCACACAGTCTGCATTTATTCCAAAATGTACAGTTGCCTTGAAGAAGAGTTCATGTATTTTATCACATGCATTATGCAAGCAAATAACCATATAAATGTAATTCAGCCCCACGGGCAGTGGCAGTCTTTTGTTGGTGTTCTCACTCTCAGCTGCTAAGTTGTTTACTTACATCTCATTCAGCTGAAGATGTGGATAACCTTGACAGGGGAGTAATGGCACATGAAAAACACTTAGTGAGGACGGTTTTTTATTCACACAATGTCGTCTGAATAAATAGAGATGGACACGACAGTTTTTCATTTTTGACCGAGAACAGAATCTTGTTTCCTGAGGTGCTGTTATATAAACCCAACATTTATATGTGGGAGCTGGAAAGTGTGGTTCCTGGTGCAAACACTGAAACGTGTTTCGTGCTCTAAATCTAAAAATGATTTAGAGCAGGCTGCCTCATCTTGTCAGCCTGCTCTAAATCATTTTTTGTTCTACTCTTGTCTCTTGTGTAATGTCGCAGTGAGGGGGTATCCCTAATGTGGTGATCTCAGTCATAAAAGCCCCGCCCACATGCTATTCGAACCTTCTGTTTGCTGGTGGCAGCCAATCATTGGCAGGATCTTGGTATTATTAATATGTATAAATTAATTCTTATTTATATAATACGGAGTTAGTAAGGTACCGTTCGATCTACGTCCCTACTCTCACCTATGGTCACGCGCTGTGGGTAGTGACCGGAAGGGCGAGATACAAGAAGCAGAAATGGGCTTCCTCCGAAGGGTGGCTGGCCTCTCCCTTTAGAGATAGGGTGAGAAGTTCAGCCAGGAGGGCCTCAGAGTAGAGCTGCTGCTCCTCTACATCGAAAGGAACCAGTTGAGGAGGTTCAGGCATCTGACAAGGATGCCTCCTGGACACTTCCTGGTTGAGGTGTTCCAGACATGTCCCACCGGGAGGAGGCCCCAGGGCAGACCCAGGACACGCTCTAGAGATTATATCTCTCGGCTGGCCTCGGAAGGCCTTGGTGTTCCCCCAGACAAGCTGGAGGAGGTGGCTGGGGAGAGGGAGGTCTAGACTTCTCTGCTTGGGCTGCTGACCCTGCGACCCGGCTCCAGATAAGTGGAATAAGATAGATAGAGTTAGTGAGGTAGTGTGCAAGAGTCTTGAGCTATTCCTCATTTTTTTGCCAAGAAAATACAAACTTTTGTGAAACACGCACACATAAATGGAACTGCAGAATATGAGACCTGTTTCCAGTGATTTTCAGTGCAGTTCTTCTGTAATCTGGCAAACCTCAGCCTTCCCTCCCTGTTTCACTTCCTTAAGAATGGCTTCTTGACAGTAACCTTTCTCTGAGAACAGTGATGTGCCTCCACTGAACAGGATCAACTGAGCGGTCAGATGCATCCCTCCGACCCCACATCAGGTCTTTGTTGGATTTTTTTTCCCTCTTTCATAAGGACATGACTCAGATGTACTGATTATGTGCTGCAGATAGTTTTTCATAGATTCAACTAAAGAAATAAAAAGAAATAATGTTTTATATTAAAGATCTAAGTTGCCTCTTATGTGTGGTCACAACACTGCTTCATCCCTTGAGTTGGAATCTTTTTTTGTTTTTGCTTGAATGATTGGAGAGATGTCTCGGGACTTTTTACCCAGCACTGTTAGTTTATGCTCAGTATTATCGTGTTTGCGCACAGCACAAACAGCAAGTGTGACTTTGCTTTGTCTCCTGTTCTGACTTCTTCTATTCCCATTATAACTGTGAGTCTGTGAAGCGAAGTTTCGATACCTGTTGTTTAGGAAGCTCCAGGCAGTGAAGTGAAAATGATTTTTAAAAAAATAAAGCGATCCACCATGGAGCTGTTGCAGAGGGAGAAATCTATTCATAGAGACCAAAAGCCTGTTGTGTACCAAGCTGTAAACATGCTGTGTAATGCTATTAAGTCAGTCATTTTTAATTTTGTCGCTGTGCCAATCTGGAAATTGCCGGTCTGTTTTAGGTTTGGCAAGAATTTAGTCAAATGAGAAGATATCAGCCAGCCAAGCCTGAAACCACAGCTCTAAAAGCTCTTACACTGCCTAATCAATATGCACTCCATAATGAGTTACAGCAGTTTAATATAAGTTTAATATGAACTCTGGATATTCCCGTTTATCTTATTTGCTTTGATGGCTTTTCATTCAGTAATTTCCTGCAGCTTTTGCTGTATTTTTGTTTTGAACAGTGACGTTTTCATTTGTCTCGTTGCAGTTAAAATGTCCCCGTGCAGCTGAATGCAGCCCGAGCGTGTCCGAGCTGCCCCAGTCGGGGATTTACATAAAATCTCTTGTAAATCTATGTATTTCTAATCATTTCCTGCCTTGCACAATCTCTGTGACCTGCTCACGTCCTTATTATGATTTTCAGATGTTTGCAGCATGGTGAAGCGTGTAAACACCTTGTACCATTCCCGTTGGTTTCATTGTCATGGTAATATTTGTAATATTCTGCTTATTCATGTGCAAAAGGGGGCCTTGTGATGGAGGTGTGCCGATGCATACAAAGAGCTCATCCCAAAGTGTGACCTTGGCTGGGTTGTGAACACAATAGTTTGTGCTTACAAACACGCTCAAGGACTTTCTCTTCCTGTGGTTCACCTGGAGCCTCGAGACATTCTGTCTGCGTGACTTTGTGTTTGGAGCAGAAAGCAAAAAGTTTGTGTAATTTCACAAGTGACCTTTTCCCCCTGTCTCCACAGACCCACACCTTATTCTCACTGCTTGGCTTAAGTCATGCTTATGTGACCAGTACTGGCAAACTGGTGGGGGTGGTGGCACTAAAAGAGGTAAGAAATGTTACTTTATTTCACCCTGCAGTTTGTTTTTCTTCCAGAAATGGACATTTACATTCCTGTGTGTGCTGTGAACAGCAGTATTTTTAGGTTATTTGTCTAACAGACAGACAAACTAATGCACTTTTTATATCAAGCTGGCTTTATATACTTGCTAGGAAAAGAAGGTGAGAGCATATTACCCCGTTTTAAAGTCTCTACATTAATGTAAGGATGCACAGATAACTTTTTTTCCATTTGTCTTTGTATATTTGAAGAAACTAAGTACTCCAATATTTAAAAAAAAAAAGAAGAAAGAGACTGACAATCTGTCTTTTACAGTCTGGAGAAAAAAAGGCCCTCACAGCACTCTGTCAAATACTAAGCACACCTTTAATGCTTTCATAGGATTTAAGAGTGTAAGTAGCAGTCAGGTGCTGCTAATTAAATGCTCTTTATTAATGGCAATGCTCAGAGAAGTTGCAAAGAACCCCAAGAGCTACATCTGAAACGCTACAGGCCTCCATTAGCATTTTAACTCATTCACTGCCAGCCATTGGCAGTGAATGAGTTAAACCCATTGACTCATTCACTGCAATTGACGGCTATAGACGTCAATGGCAGTGAATGAGTTAAATGTTAAAGTTCATGACAGCACAACAAAGAGTTTCCAGAAAAAAAGCCTCTTCTCTCTACAAAGAACATGGCAGCACAGCGTAGGTTTCAAAGTCGCATTTCAACAACAACAGTGACTTGTGGAATAATGTCCTTTGGACAGACAAAACCAAAGTGGAGACATTTGGCCATAATGCACGGAGTCGTGTTTGGAGAGAGCGAAGCTTCATCATAAAGGACTCAGGTCAGGCTGTAGCGCTGCGGTGCAGGAGTGATGAGTCGGGCTTGTTTTGCAGACACAGGACCCAGGACACTGCAGTCACTGAGTCGACCATGAACTCATCTGTACACCAAAGTAATCCAGAGTCAGACATGAGGCCAGCTGCCCAACAGCTAAAGCCCAAACTACCCACAGCAACCAATAATCAATCATTTTAATAACAGTACATGAACACAGGATTGAAGCTAAACTGTAAACTGCAGATGTTCATGTAAAAGCTACAAGTAATCAGCCTCCAGTAAGCACACCGCTCCTTTTCACCAAATATTTTTTATGTTGTTGCTTCATTTTGATTTTGGTAGCTCTCTGCAGACTATTGCATTGGGAGTAAAAGACAAGTTAACCTGCTCTCGACGATAATCAAGCTATAAAAACGTAAAAGCCTTTCTTCCTTTCTTCAAATGCACTGGCTAAAAGCCAGACTTTAGAAAAGGTCTGCATCCTACAGAGCCAATTTAAAATGTGGGACGCAAGGTAAATATGCTGTGCAGTCCCAGATAAGCAGGAACATCTGGTCACCCTATAAGCAGTAAGTGTTGTAGTTAATCACAGAGTAAGAGTGTTTGTGCGCTCTGTTGGAGTCACGTTAAGTAGCAATAGAGACCTTTAAAAATGAGCTTAATCGTGCCTTTTATTAAATGCTAGAAAGGTTGGTTTATTGTTTATAAAGATTCATGAGATAGAGCTTCATCTAATGAATAAATAGCTCAGACCAAACGGGCATAAAGAGTAAGCGTTGAACTGGATTAAAATTAACATCCTCCTCCTTTTATATAATCAGGGATTAAATGGTATTCCCTTTCAAATGAGTGCAAATGAACACGTTTGTACTTGTATGAGGCGTTGCTGAAGGCAAACAAAAAGGTTGGGCACTGCTGGTCTGGATCTCAGCAGCACAGCCACAGCATGGCTAAAGCAGCCAGACCACAACCAGCTAATGGAAAAACTCTGAAACTATCTGAAGGTCTCCAGAACTGAAACCTAAGCATTAAATGAAATTAACTTTCCTGATCCAAGTCCAAAAAAAGCTCCTTTTTTAATACACTCAACCTTTGGAAGTCTTCTCTTGTTTGTCTTTAATTTGGAGGGAAAAATCCAATTTGTTTTTGCTCCTAATTTCCTTGGAGTCTCGTACAGCTTTTTGAATTATGTATGAGTACTTTGTGAGCATAATCAATAAGCTCTCTGTAAGTTTTGGGCTCCTGTCTTTATCCATAATGGTCTCTGACTCATGCTCCTGTGTCGCCTCATTTTCTTTAACTTTTCTTTCCTCCATCTGTGTAATTGCTCACCACTGACTCTGTCTAATCCCTGCTTGCTTTCCTTCATTTCGTCTTTACATTTTCACCATTCATGTATGAATTCCGCTCATTTCTTCTTGTTTTTAATTCTTCCCCTCACTCTTCAAACCCTGCCTCTCCTTCTTACTCTCCTTCTTTTTCCTCTTTCTCTTCCTTTTTCTCTTCTTCTTCTTTCTCTTTCTCTCCCTCTTCTTCTTCTTCCTCCTCCAGCTCCAAAAGGCCATCGAGGGCTCCACACGCTCTGGTGTCCGGCTCCGCCCTCCTCTGGCCAGTTTTCGTGATATCAGCACCCACAACTCGGTCTCTAAACCTCCACCTCCATCTCCCAACGCCCCTTCCTCTCCTCCCTCACCTGAAATTGTTGCTCAGGCTCCTCCCCTCTCTCCCCCCTCCCCCTCTCAACACCACCACCATCACAGCCATGAGAATGAAACAGAGGTGTTGATCGAGGGTGTGCCGAGGGAGGTGGAGGAGAGCACCAGTAGCGCTTCGGGGAGCGGCAGCAGCACGGTGGCCTGCAGCTCGGCCAGCAGGAGCTGCAGCTGCAACAGCAACCTCACCCTCCCTCCTTCTTCTACTCCTCCCCCAGTCCCCTCTTCCTCCACTCCTCCTGCCTCTCCTCCTCTCTCCTCCATCCGCCTCTCCACCCTACAGAGACTCTTTGAGGAAGAGGAAGACAGCGATGATGAGCCTATGGTTTAGCTTACACAAGAGTGATGCTTTTTTTTTTATAATGGAAAACTTTTATAATAGTTTGAGGTTATTTCTTCTGTTCTTAATACATTTCTCCGGTCTTTGTACTTCCATTTACCTCTTTTTATGTTACTGGTACAGCTTCCACACACTGGTTTCACAGACCATCACCTGTTTGGTGCAAAAAACACCTTAAACTGCCATATTCATCTAGTTCCTTTGTATCAGGTGCGATTAGAAAGTTTGTGGTCTCCGCCCACAAAAGAAAAATACAAACACTGACTTAAATATGGCTGATCTTTCCTACAAGATCAGGTCACTGTGCACTTCTGAACCTCCAGTGTGCCTGTGCTCCGTCTGGAAAGCCCCCTGGAAGCTGTGGTACGACTGCACATACACGTTTGTAATTTCAAAATGCATGTGAAGAGCGCTCATCCCCTTCTCTGTCACAATGACCCAACTTTAACATAAGGATCATCACTGGTGATAACGACCTGTTCTTTTTTATACAGAGGTCTATTTTTTCTTCAGTTTAAATCAAATGCTCCCTTTACCAGTAAAGCATGGCTGAGGCTTCTCTTTGTCCCAGTCTGCACCAGCATCCTGCAGTAACATCCAGTTACAGCAGGCCTGTGGGGATAGTTTGCTTCCCTTGTGAGACGAGCTTTATGGTCACAAACACCTCCTAGTTGTTCTTGTGGGGACCTGGATTTTGGTATTGTAAACTTGCAGTTTTTGGTCCCCACAAAGATATGAATACACGCTCACTCACACATGCACAGAGACCTCTCCAAGTGAAAAAAGTTAAATGTAAGATGCTTATTATTTTAAAGAATAACTCTGGTTAATAATCGAGAATATAACATTGACCAAAATGACCGTGATTGTAGTTTTTGCAGTAATAAAACAGGAGCTCCACACGGCGATCTAAAAACAAGCAAACGGTGGATGTGTGTCCAGAGATGTAAAGTGAGGCGACACTGAAGCTGAAATCAACCAAATTAAAGTCGCGTATGTTGTTTTCTTTTTGTGGGCGGATTCGTTGAGCGCTCTGATTGCCATGCGTAAGCTCTGAAGCTCTGTATGTCTGTAACGTTTGCTCGTTTTGTTTTAATTTCTGCTCATTTTCCTTCTCTTGTTGTTTCACACTTTGATTTTCATGGGTTAAATTGTAGATGCTGCCAAGTCCACAAAGTCAGGTATCTAACTGTGATATGCTCTTTTTGAATATTTGATAATGACGGTTTTAGCACTCTTAAACTTATTTCTGAGATCCAGTAATATCACTGGTTAAGGTCAAATAACCCACCTGTTCAGCTGCTCGACATGTTGAATGGCCCTGTGATGAACTGGTAACTGTCCATAGGCTCCAGCCCTTCCACTAACCTAAACTGGAGAAGCGGTTAATAAAATGGATGGATGGACATTACTGAGGAGTAGATTGATAAAACACTGCTACCATTTCTACTGTCTGAATCCAGACTGCGATTGATTAACTGTGCCTCTGTCACAGCTGTTTCCAACACCACACACTTTACTGTATGTTCTGTGGGGTTATTTTGACTGTAACGCTCTCTGCTCAGCTGAATCCGAATAATCAATCAAAAGCTTTGCTTCCCAAACAAGAGGTGAACCCGGTGAACTGCCGCACAGTTGTCCTGTGTTAGCCAATCGCTTAAGTCTTAAAAAAGGTAGGATTTTATCAGATGAGAGCAGAGGGTATTGATTTATTTTAACTGGCAACGAACCGTGTGGGTAGCAGAAAACTAATGGAGCTGCTCAGTCCACTGTGGAAGATTGGCCAAAGCCCCACAACGACCTCCAAATTGTGTGGCGACCTTGTGGATGCAGCCTCGGAGCTCATCTCATCACAGTTAAGTTGATAGATGGTGCGGCTGGAGGCGGCTGACGACAGCAAAACCTCGCCGTGCAGATCCTCAAGATTCGTTTTCTCCTTTTTTCTTCAAAAAGGAAGCCTTGCAGATTTAACCCTAATCACTTTAATAATTCTAAATGAGATTATCAGAAAAATCTACTGAAGCTGTTCATTCTAACGTGATGATAGCCAAGGTTCTCTGACAGGGAAGGAGACATGTACAGATGTGTTGCCAGAGAAACGTTTCCCAGTTAATGCTGTTAAAGATGTTAAAAATAGCTTCTTTTTTAAAGCTGTTGTGATGGTTATTATAAGAAGCAAAGCTGCTCATGTAACATTTTCAAAGAATAAAAGTCAAGAAATTTAATGACTATTTAACCTTAATGTCTTCCTGAGCTTTTGCCTTCTAGGCAGCTGCCTCTGTAGATGGTTCAGGTGTCTTTTATCATAATCATATATAAGCTTCAGTTAATCACATACAACTGAAAACAGGCCTGGCTTCTTCTTTTTTACTATTTATCAGAATTATTCCTCAGATTAACCTTCAGGCTTGCTTAATACAAGCAGCATCTGGTACCTCCACGTCAGAAATGCGATGCTTCAACTGTTTTGTGGTTTCAACACAACAGCAGGAACAAAAACCAAACGCTTTGCAAAAAGAGGCTTTGAGCTGTGAAGTTTGGAGTTGGGTGAAAATCACAATCTCAGTGTCCGTGGTCTGTCAGCATCAGGGTATTAAAAAATAAAGAAGAATCAGGCAGTATGTATCGGTGGGCTTCCACCAGGTCTGCTGGAGGGATAACACAGCACTGTCCTCCCACAGTACCACATACTGTGTGTCACAGTCATGCTCACCTCTCACACAGACTGCAGACACTCTGCTGCTGCAAGAGAAGAAAAGGGGATGACTTAGAGTGAAGAGGAAAAGAGTTAGATCACAACACTCGTCTGGTGGTTATATCTGTCTTATTTTTACAGTTGGTAAAACATCTCGATGCTTCAGGTCAAGAGAGGAGAGGGTGGGGATGTTTGATGGGGTAAGAGGTGTGACGTGATAGTCAAATGGTTTGGCTTCGTGTGGAGTTTTTGAACATGATCTTTGGTTATTTTTTTGACAGCACTATTGTCTGTTGACTAAGCCTAAGTGGAAATGTGGACCCTCAGGTATATAGCAGGGGATCTCCAAGCTAAGATTTTATGAATACATTACTTTAGTATAGTTTATTTTTAAACAAATGACTAAAAAGCTAAAAGAAAAACCCAAATCTAACTCGAACATGATTGCTAGAAGCACTCGACTACATGCGTCTGTTACCTACAGATTCATCTGCAGATATCTTTATCTGTTTGCTGAGATTGTTTGCTAATGTCAAACACAACACATAATGGGACTTCATAACCAAACATGTAAAATAAATGGTCTCTAAACCAGATTTTCTCCCCGTCATGAACAAAGGGTGGGAACCTCAGCCATTGCATCCATGCACCGTTTCTCCATTTCTCCTTCATCTCTCTCTCTTATACGGTCTTCTTATTAACTCCTGGTATCAGTTTCTCAGGTGTTGCCTTAAAAGTCTTTAAACCTTCAGATTTGACAAAACATTTCTTTATGTCTGTTTCTTGGGTGTGGAGGGACATCGGTGCAGGTCTCAGTGTTTATTTGTGGTTGTGGTTAATGTAGTATTTATTTCTGTTTTAGTCATTATCTTCAACTTTATAAACTGTGAACAATTTAGCTAAATAAAGTTTTATTTGAATGCTTTACTGTGTTTGAATTTGGTTTATTTATCCAGGTCAGGCTTGTTGTAAAGGCAACAAACCCGACATGTTGCTAAGAAAGGTCTGAAGGCTAAAGTGGGGCCACCTTGGTTCTAGCAAGGTGTACTTAATAAAGTGGCCAGCTAGCAGTTGTAGCTTATCTAAAGCATCGATAGATTGGCAGACAGGCTGTGGTGCTAGTAATTACAGGATCCAGTGTAGTGAAGTGACTGCCGTCTGTTTCATCATTGTTTTATTTCCATGTCTGCATAAAATGAAATCCTTTCTGTGAATTACTCTTTGTGATGGAGTTGTTTTTAAGTGTCTTATTATCATTAAAAAGTTGAAATGACAGGTAAAATTACGCTACGACAGGATCTTTACGACCTTGTCTGTCACCATGACAGACGAGAAAGTCGAATGCGACCTCTGCCCGGCACCATCGCTGCTTGCAGCTAAATTATTAAACTTTACTTTATTCTGACAAGATGACAGGATTTTATTTTTTCTACTTTAATTGCTTTTTATCTCGTGTTATTTGCAAAGAGTAAGTGTCACTTTGATACGTGACTTTGAAAGAATTTTTTAGGCTTTCAATTAGTCTTCTTTGGAAGATGCCTGACTCATTTTAGAAGAAACCTTTTCTGGGTGGCGTGGACTGTGCAGAAATTATTTTGAAAGACCGAGTAATTATTCAGCACGACGGACACCTCGTGCAGTTAAATCTGACAAAAACTCTATATTAGGTTTCAAGCTTTAATAACCTTGTGGCCCTCGTTTCTTTGTCAGTCAGGTGACACCCTTTCGAGCGTGCAACCATTTGGGCGTTTTGGGCGCTAGAACGATTTACAGGATGAGATCTCAAAGAGGATAAACAGAGGACAGATGATTATCAGAGCAATTAGGGGCATCAGGGTCTTAATCACAGGAGGGTAAGACTGAATCGTTCTCAGTAGCTCTGTCTCAAAGAGACGATGTGAAAAAATAACGCATAATTACATTGATTTGCATTGATTTTATCAGTGGCAGCTGGTCCATGGAAGCAGAGGAGGTTGTTCCTCTTTGGGGGGTTTTGAAATAAAGATGAGGTCAATGCAAGAGGGGAAAAGGATTGAAATAAATCCTTCCCAAAACTCAGCATCATTTATAAAATACATTTTGTCTCTTTCACGCTGACCCGCCCCAACAACCATTCGCACTCACATCACATTCACACCTATAAGCAATATAAATTAATAATTTAATCTAATCCCCACTAACTAAATGTCTTTGGACTGTGGGAGGAAGCCAGAGGGAACATGCAAACCCCACACACAAACACCCCTGTGGGGGAATCAAACTCTGGACCTTCACGCTGTGAAGCAACTGTGCTAACCACCGTGCTGACCAATGTTTCTCAGGTAATGTCTTGATGCACGCTCAATCATCCAGGTAAGTAAATCCCAAAACATTGATTCTGTTCATCTGGACATTTTCAGTGGGAGAAACGTTTCCTCATTCATCCAACTGACTTCCTCAGTCTCAGCTGACTGCAGGTTTCCCCAATCTTATAAACAGTACATTTGTACAAACACTGAAACCTAGCAAACTGAATTCATTCAGTTTGCTAGGTTTCTCAAGTAACATTTAAGATTCATCATGAGCTGATGATTCATCTGTTGTGAAATTAAACCCTCAGAATGCCTCCCAAAAAGCTTAAAATGATAAAAGGACTTGAACATACAAGGACACTCTTCTACCTCCCAACAATAATGGAGTCCTCACATGAAGGAGGCTGTTGATTGTGATCAGAGCAGCTGAAGTGTTTTTATGGAACTGCTGGCGACAAGAACGCTGCCACAGGTCAGTAAAGAAACCGCACACTGCTGCTTGAAACACAGCAAGATATTCAAGTATTCAGGCCTTTGCTTTCTCTGACTTGCTTAATATATAATGGGCTCATATAAAAGCTCATTTAAGACAACCTATTTAAACTGCCTTACTTTGTAACACATTCCTAACCCAACCTGATGCCTATTCTTTTTTGTACTGGCGATCTTGCTGCTATATCTCCCCAGTAGGGCCAAAAAATCAGATGCTTTGCATTAATGTAAAACTGTCTTTAAAAGCACCTGTAATTACATGTTTGTTACAGGTATAAAGACGATGCAGTGCCAAGTTTGAGACGAAAAGGCATAGACACAGATTTTTGCAGCTGACCTTATTGCATATGTATTTATAAGAGCACAAATATTTCAGAGGCGAGAATTCAATGAAGTTAGATACATTTGATTTTTGTAATATTATTTAATGGCAAAAAGGCACTTATTTTCTTATTTTGTGCCAGATGTGGGGCAGCACGGTGGCACGGTGGTTAGCACTGTTGCCGTACAGCAAGAAGGTCAATTCCACCATCAGGCCGGGGTCTTTCTGTGTGGAGTTTGCATGTTCTCCCCGTGTTTGCGTGGGTTCCCTCCGGGTACTCCGGCTTCCTCCCACCATCCAAAGACATGCAGCTTGTGGGGATAGGTTAATTGGATAATCCAAATTGCCACTAGGTGTGAATGTGTGAGTGAAAGTGAGTGCGAATGGTTGTCTGTCCCTGTGTGTTGGCCCTGCGACAGACTGGCGACCTGTCCAGGGTGTACCCCGCCTCTCGCCCTATGACAGCTGGGATAGGCTCCAGCGCCCCCCGCGACCCTGAAAAGGATAAGCGGTAGCGAATGGATGGATGGATGGATGTGCCAGATGTGGGTGTGATAGGTGCTGCTAAGAGTTCAGTTGGAGTGATAGAGGCAGATGTTGGAAACACGTTTTTTGGGATGGCCTAATGCACGGGGCTGTAGACGAGTTAATTTTTAAAGTGAGCAAAGCAGTTTGCAGTGTTTCAAGTTTTAGTATCTTGTGAATTGCAAATAAAGAAAACCGCAGAAAGCACAAAAGCTTTTGTGCATCTTTATTCAGCACAAATCACATTTATGCATTTTGCTCTGTATGCCTCTCTAGTATTAGATCTATTACATAACTTATGGAGAAGTCTGGCAAAATACGGCTAATAATGTGACTCAGAGTTGAATTGTTGAGTTGAGTCTTGGCATATGTTGTGTAGCCATCACTGAATTTAATGGGGATTTTGTAAAAAGAGGTTTGTTTATTGCCCTCAGGTAGCTGAGTCAGATTCTTTTCTCTGACTTTTAATAGCTGCAACATCACATGGCATGCAGGGAAAAAAATGTCTGTATTTAACGCACATGGAACAAAAGGAGTACTTTATTAGTTCCTGGATTAGTCGAGATCATGGGGTAATTTCTGCACTGTGTTATTCCTCTACACATCCTATAGCCCGGCTGCTATACACAGACTTATACACAGTCCAAAGACAGCCCTTATACTAGAACATATCAATTCACCTTCCCCTCCTGCTCCCACATTACTTCATTTGCTGCTTCTGGAGAGAAACACATGCGTAAAGCTTGTGCTCGTTCACTATCACTTCCTAATGGATCACCTGCAAACATCCCTTATGATCACTGAGACGTCACTTTTATTTGTCCCGCCTAGTAACTCTGGCCAAATATAAATTCCTGCACATGGCAAAAATAAAGGAGTCCCTATTGAATCATCAAAAAGACTTTCTACATGATAACTTTACAAGTGTAACTGTGGTTGTGGTAATCAAATGTAACTACATTACTGGTAGATACAATAAATGGCAGTTAAAGGAAGAGTTATAGGAAGGTGTTTTACTACAATAAAAGCCATAAAATGAAACTAAAAACTAAGACATAATCAAAATGTTTCAACAATGTTTAGCTCTAGAGTGCAGCACTCACAGTCAAAGACAGACTCTCAAAGGAGATTCTGAGAGCTTGTATTTCAGTTAGTGATTATTTATTTGACAGTGAGTTGATTCCTTGTGATATTCCGGAGTCTGTTTTTACTTCAGGGTTTTCTAGTAATGTTCTCTTCTAGTTTGGGTTCATGCGTTCATTGTTACTCCAGTGTGTTGAGCTTTATTTTGACCTTTTTTTAATTTGAAGTCTGTTTTCGTGGCTTCCTGATTCCTGATTAGATGGTTGCTGCTCTAGCGTTAGTTTTGAATTCTTCATCTGTGTTAAGCGTCAGCTCCTAGTTTGAGTTGGATGTTGGATTGGATGCGTTGGGTAAGCAGCCGATAAATGGCTCACTTTTCCATCATGTCTGCCTTCGTGTCCTGCATAAACCTTGACAGCTCTCCCCTGTTTAGAAAGTTGCTCATTAAGGCAAAGAGGTAACACATTATCTTAATGAAGGCATCACAGGAGAAAAAACGTTTTTGGCACAGAACAGCAGAGAGAGGAATTTGTTTCCCAGAATATATATTTTACACACAAACAAAGCTACATTCATACAAACATACATACAGTGTTACATTCATACAAATACATATCGGTTTATTTGATTTTTTCCCTTTTATTATAAAAAGCAATTTGATATATTATTACTTTGTATTACTGTGTTATACTGTTAGGGCTAGTTCACTGTTAAAAAGCATGCACGTTCTTTTGGTTGTGTCCAGAGCAAGTGTTTGCAAATAACTCCAAGTGCATGCCTCAGGTTGCCATGAGTTCTAGATTACGCCGTCTTTACCTCATCAAGACATCTCAGCCGTCAGTCAAACCTAAACACGTTAATTAGCCAATCAAACTGCTCTCTGACCAGGTATTTCTGGCCTTGAAGGGGTTTTTATTTTTGCATACAAAAGCCTATTTCTGATGCTGAAAGCATCTTGAAACAGCCACTCTGAATTATTTGCAAACCCTGATTGTGCCCATGTTTGTTGTATTGCGCTGAATTTATAAATAGGCCCTTAACTTTTTTCTTCTTATCCTTTCTTTTAATTTTCCCCCATCCCTGTGTTGCCAGTTTGGCTTTCAGTCCTGGTTCTTTGTTCCAGTCAGTCCAAACTGTTTATTGAATACATCTTTATTCTCAAACAGCTTGTTTCAGCAGTCACTGAATTCAAGTCTCTCTTCTGCCTTAAATCAAAGTTAATTAGTCTCATATATGTGATATTCCAGATTTCCCATACTAGACTGGTGGTAGGGGTGTCTCCTTGGCCATAGTGTACATTACATCCCACATTCTCATCGGAAAAAAAGTCGCATTTCCTCGGCCTCAAAGTAGGTAAATATTTGGGAGAGGGAGGGGTTGGGATAATAGCTTGACTGATTATTGAAGTATTAATTTCCAGTTTTTGACAGAGTTTCGTCCAAATGACTCAATTGGTTGCAACAACAACAATGGAGCCCTCGTCTGCCTCTTCATCTTTCTCTTCCAATGACTGGACGACGCAGGGCGTGACGTCAAAGGGTATCCTCTCTGCGACGGGTTCGGTGGTCTGTGCTGGTAGTCCTGGGCTTGAACCTCTGGTCGAAGGGGCATCTTCCCTCAGCGGGGAGGGCGTCAAAGAGCACGGCTCTGGCTCCAAAGTTAATGTTACCTCTTCTACCTGTGAAGGCAGGAAGTAGAGATTTTTAAGGACATTTGTTCTGTATCGCAGGTGAGTGAAGCTCTGTTATTCATTCTTGTAAGGTGCTTACATGTTGTTCTTACAGATAAGAGCCAATTTTTGAAATAATTGTTCTCTCTAAAATGTTAGTCATGTGTCTGATTTGGGGCAGTAGAACCAATAGAGCCTGCCCGGTTAAGATGCCACCATCCCTTCACCCAAGGGTTTGTCAAGTGGCATTACGCAGGCTTCATTTAGGCATCATGAAGTTTTGGAACCATGGGTGGTTATAATTAGTCAAGTGCTTAGTTATAAATATTTATAAGCAAAAGATTTGACTTTCACTCACCAAAACTACAGCACACATTTCTAAAACAGTCACTTTTCATGCTGAACTGTGCAAGCAATAAAATTTGTCATATAATTTCATTAATAAAAAAAACACAACAAACATGGTCAAGAAGTTCAGTTCGGTGACTCAGATAATCTGAAATAATAATAATAGTTATGAAAGATGAAATTGGTTATGGAGACCAAAACTGTTTATGATTTTTTATTGTGCACAGGAGTCTATGGAAATTTGACAAAACTGCAGTTCATCACATGGCCACTTGACTCAATCCCCATAGGTTTCCATATTAAATATTCAGCTTTTTAGCATAAAAATGTAAAACACAGTTTTGGTCTCCATGGATACTTTCCTGTTTGAAACAGCTGGGTTATATTTTTTTAAATAAATTGTCTCTTGGAGATTGTCAAAGCTTGGCTGCTTTGTTTCCAGGCGGCTGGTAGGTGTGTCTGTGTGATGCAACACGCAGTTTAAGACTGCAGCTTGTTAACTAGTTGATAACCTAGTACTCCACCATGACCACAAATATTTAAAAAAGGTATGGGCTGCTCTTTTATGTACAATATTGCTGTTTTAAAATGGGATTGACTTACCTTTACACCCAAGCGGCAGTTTTTAATAATAACGTTTTCCTGATTCTTCAGTGTTTTTAGTACAGTGTATTGTTTCTAACTCACCTTTGTTAGCTCCTCCTCTTCCTCTTCACGCTGTTCAGGGAAGTCTTCAGACTCGGGCTCTGGCTCTTCTCCGACCGTCTCCACCACGCCTCCGACCATGTCAGCCATCTGTGCATTCAAGTGTCCAACGATCTCCACCTGCAACCAGTTAAATTTGACTGAAGCGCTTGTTGAACGGAATTTAAACTGGAAAGGGATTCAACAGGTTAGTGGCATTTTCACACGTAATTTAAACTGACATCCGTCCTTCACTTGGGCTCCAGAAGTCCCTGATAACAGGTAAAATAAAAAGACAAATAAAACAGAAGACGAACAGGAGATGGCCCGACCCAGCATGGTTTTCATCTGCAGGGGGTCGGAGCGAAAGAACATACACTTTAGCTGGGTGCAACAGATACAGATGCTGATTCCAAACGCTGAAACTTGCGGACCTTGTGGCATGCCACTCTGACGACCAGGCTGATTTACACATCTCTTTCAAAACTCATCAAATCCACTTCAGGCAGTCATGCTGAGTGCTCCATGCAGACCTCCAGCCTGTCTCCTACCTTGCAGACTTTCCTGGCAGTTCATCTTTCACTGCTCTACAGATGTGTGCTAAATAGGCCTGCTGATATAAACAAAGCCAGATTCATAAAACAAAGATTTAGCAGAGAAAACACAAAAATATATCAGCATTCAACCTTTATCTTTAATCGAGACCAAACATCATAAACCGTAGCTTCCAGCAGAAACTAGACATGCTGTCACGGCTATGATGACTGCATTGTCTCAGTCACTCTGTAATAGTGACAGGAGACAGAGTCCTATCCTTGCAACTGCATATATAGTCACGCACCCTTGTGTCCTTGCAAACTGTCATAGCCGCTCTGTCAGAACATATTAAACCACCATCGAGTCTGCAAGCTCTGTAATCCGAGCATTTGGATTCAGCAGGCGAGCGCCTACCTGATGTCCCTCAACCTGTGCTGCTCCCCACAGGTCAGCTAGCCGAGGGTGAGTGGGTGGACCGAGGCTGTGGATGGTGCTATTGGGCGTGGCTTGGAGTGAATGGGAGGCACTGTGTAGCCTGTGCTCCATAGACTGTAAAGGGAAGCAAGAATAAAAACAGAATATTCAGGATTTGGCCGTTAATATGTAACCCCGATCAACAATCTCTTGGTTTGTGGCCGCTTATTTTTTAAACTTTTGTTTTTCTCTGGAACAATAAAATTGCCTCCCACTAGGAATCTAAAAACACCCACAACCAACTGCTCCTGACATTTGAATAATGGACGGCGTAGTGCTGTAACGCGCACATATCGCCAAACAAAAGACGAGGCCGCTTTTTTCTTCCAACATTTATCCCAAGGGCTTTTGCAGGAGGTGGAGGACACATATTCTAGTATTTTTTTTCCACTCTCTTCTAGTTTGGCTTCTACTTTTAAAATCTCTCTAAATTATGAGGTTGCTGCAGGGAACGGTGCGGAAATGCCTTGACTGGAAGATTTTATTCTAAATGTAAGACGTTCAATAGTCTCCTTCTCCGGGGAAGGCATATAATACACACGGTAAAGCTAACAAGCTCATTTCCATTGTGGTCTCGGATCAGTACACCTTTTCTAAGACACAGTCCCTGACCTTTTCAAGTATGTATTTCATAACTCGCAGTTATTTAATGAGCTCTGAGAATGCACCCAATGCAAGAGCAGCCAACAAAGTCTTGGGGTGTCACAGTTCACCGTGACTCACTTCGTTTGCAGAAAACCTTCCAGCAGACTGAGAGCTGAAAGTCAGCAGCTGATTTCAACAATATTCAAACTGTCTGCACAAAATGAACCCATAAGAAACTTAAACAAGGTCAGCAAGTGCACATGTTGTGGGAGCAGAGACATGTGGTGTATATATTTAATAGGACAGCAGACCTAAGGCTGTGTGCATGCATGATTTATACTGGACTGTGTTAGTGTAACAGTTATCTGTGAAGGTGCTTTGAATCTGCTGAGTGGTATTTGTGTTTTCCATTTTAAGAAGCTGCTGCCATCAACACTGCAAAATCTCACCAAACAAGGTGGAAACCTTTCCTTCATGTTGAGAAAGTTAAAGTTCAGCCATCATGGACTTTTTCCCCTAAACCAGCCCACTGGACATCTTTGGAAAATGTAAAGGAGGGTATTATAATAAGGAGGGCTGTATTTTTATCAGTTTTACAGCTTCACCTTCTGATAAAGACCTCCCCCATGGCCTTTTTTACTACACCAAAGTAACAAGTAAAATATAACAGAAATTTCTATATTATAGAAATTATAATAATTATTATATTTTTTATTTTGATTCATTAATTATGAATTACTAATTTAATTGTGACTGTAGGAGAGTCTAAGTAAAGGCCATAACCCTTTCTATAATTTTCCACATTTGTTTATTTGTCCTGACTATAATTCCCTTCTTTCACTTTCACTCTTTCTTATATCAAATGTATTGAATGTGTAGTTAAAGATCCTTACACAGACAGAAAAGAATGATTTGGTTCGGCCCACTTAAGATGTAAGTGGGGTGTACGTGCCCCATGATGTAAAAAGAGTTTGATATAAGTATACACAAAGGACAAATTCAGCCTCTAGGTCTGAAAAGTAATCAGAACCTACATCCTTTCTAATGGCCACCAGGGGGCGACCTCTCTAAGTCTGTCTGTAAATAAGTCTTTGGGAAAACGTCTGTACTTGTCGCTTCATTTGTGACCTCAGTAGATGTTTTTTGGACGGGTTTATGTTATGAATTACTACTTTTAAATCTTATTTAATATAACATGTAATTATTTTGTTATGTTATAAACTAGGGTACAAGCAAAGACGTGGCTAACTTGTGATTTACGAGTTATTACCGTATGAGCATTAAATATCCTCTGTTTGTTGTTTTTGTCTGTCCCACACCTTTGTTAAATCTATTTTCAGAAACCCAAGCTGGTGATGATCCTAACACTAAGCTTCAGGCCTCAATCAGCACTGCAGAAACCAGTTGGTGAATAAACAGTGGATACATCCATTTCTTTGATAGAAATTTATCCCTGGTGCCGACATGTCTGATGCATCTGCTGCTGTGTTTATATGAAAAACAGTGCAAGGCTTTATAAAAATCACTTTCACAGACCTGCTGCTGTTGTTGGTACTGCAGAAACTGTTGCTGCTGGTAGTGATGAAGCTGTTGGAGATGTTGGAGTTGACTCTGCTGCTGCAGGGCGAGTTGAACCTGGTGCTGCTGAATGTAACTTCCTACTGTCCCCTCGTACCCCTCACCAGGTGTGCCTCCTGCTCCATTGCTGCCACCTGCAACAACCACAAGACACCCAGTGTGCAGTGCTCAGTGACACAGTCTGGTGCTTAAAGCCTGTAAGAGAGGATGATAAATCATCACCGGCAGCCATGATGTAGGAGCCTGCAGCAGGCGATGCCACGCCCGAGGGCTGGCTGGTGATTGGGTCCCAGGCGTCAGAAGACGACAGGCAGTACAGGCCCTGCGAGACGTAGGTGTGAGGCCAGACATCCGCAGAGGAGTGATGGAGCACCTGGTCTGTACAGGGAAGCACAGACAGATGGTAGGCGTTGTAGAGGAAAACACAGACAGAGAAGACGCTGCTAGGGTGGAGAGGCAGGGGTAAACCAAGTCATGGGCAGAGAAAAATCAAGACGTAGCTGGAGGAGCGGAGCTGGAACGTTCTGTAATTTGTCTTTTTAGTTTGCAAAAGTTTAGGAGTTGGATTAATATGGAAGCTTCAATCAGTTTAGATTCAGATGTTTTACCAAACTATTAACTGTTGCATACTTTTTGGATAAAATGTTACCTATTCTGAGATTTGAAAGCCACAAAACTTAAAAATACCCTAAATTACATTATTTTAGAATAAAAAACAAACAAATTCAGATCTTTCATTTCTCTGAGCTAACTGACATTAAACTGAGATTAATGCACCTGAGCTGGCGTTTCTACCATAGCTTTGAATGCACAGAGAAAGTTGCAATAAGCAAGCAGCGTGCTCTGAGTGCTAATTACAGCTTAATTATTATCCATGATTACAAACTGTAGTTATGAGGATTTTTGTGTGTGGATGTGTTTAAAAGCTGTTATGGTTATAAGTGGTTATATAATAAATCCTAACAGTTCCAGAATGTTCTTGCTTCTTTCACTTTCAATAAAATATAATCATTATAATTAATAATCATATTATAATTTTGGCTGTTATGTTTTCATGTCTTAGATATACTGGGTCTGGTTTTATTTTAAAACCTAATAATTACTCTCCCTGCACTCTGAAACATTTATTAATGATTAATCATCCATTTATTAAAGTCAGACTTGAGAAAAAGATCTGTAGTTCAGAATTTGTTGCAGATACATTTGGCCAAAATTCACCCAAACTGTACTGTAAAGGTAAACAATGAAAGGTTCTTCTTAAACATATGATGGAAATCAACAGATGACTGTTTCTCTTCACTTTGTGACAAACAAAGCACGAAAAAATACTTTTGATAACTCCGCAGCAATATCAGAACCACGCTGTTTTTAATTGCAAACCTTGTTGTGATCTCTTATGGATACTATTTCCTTTCTAATGAACTAAATCTAAATCAGAAGATCTAATATTACACCTCAGCCATTAGTGTTTATCTAGGCTGATATAAAACAGGGTTAAACCTGACCTCAGCCAAGAGAAACATATGGTAATAACTTTAATAGCAGTATGATTAGCTTATCTACAGAGCAGAGCCATGGAGGGATGCAGCGCTGTGGAGGAGAAACATGCCCTCAGTCCTAATGTGGATATGAAGTAGCTGTGTAACCGTTGTTGTGTGTGTATCCCTTGCACGTGTGTGTATGTTGATGTTGCATGCTAGATAAAGCACTGAGCAGAGCCCATATGGTGGTGTTAATGAGAGCGGGGCTAAGTCCTTGTGCTAACCTACAGGCTCCCTCAGGGCTTGGACAGTGCTCTGCTTTACTAAACACCAGTCAGAACAAACATTTACCTGCACAGAGAGTTTACAGTGTTACTCTGTATGCAGGTAAATGTTAAAGGGTACACATTAGTTTTACTTTATCTTAGAATGGGAAGAAAAATATGGGAGTATTTCTTGTTTTGCTTTGATTTTTATGAGGATACACGGCCATTCCTGTGAGGCCAGAATGTGTTTGAAACAAATATCTTATCACCCGAGGCTCAAATCAGGATATGAGTTTGCCAACATTTTTCTTTAATAAAACCTTGTGCAAAATTTAAATCTCAACTTTCATCCAGTCTGTTTCTGCCTTTGATGCACGCAGCTCTTTTGGGCTACAGACATGAAGCCCTAACAGAATGTGCTCTGGTATTTCAGCACTGGCAGGCTGTCATCTGAATTTGTCATTTGGAAGTTATTGAGTAAGTGCCTGGTCAGAGTGAAAGGCAGACATGTGCAGCTGTGAGCCTGCCCTCCAAAAGTCCTTTACCCCTGCTTTGGAGACAAACTGACAGGACTCTTTTTTTTTTTTTTTTTTTACAACTCACATTGGAGTAAAACCTGGAGTTCACTGTGTGGTCCAAAGACGTGAGTTTGAGACATGTTTGAATCTCTCGCACAAAGTGAGTCCGTGTTTTACTTTAACAGCGTTCAGGTTTTAGACACAGTGAGTTAATTTATCACAAATCTCTGTCTCACATTTAACTCTTAGATCCTCTCAGTAGTTCCACATATTGTGTCATCAACATAATTAATCTCTATTGTGTTGATGGCACCAAATGTAGCACCATAGCACCTAATTTACAAGGACCGGGCTTGACATCTAAGACTTAACTGGTCACTCTGCTGTGGCTCGCAGCGACCAAACAGTGGGACAAAACAAAAGCTAAACCGAGTCACCAAATGGGCCGGCTGGTGATCCACTGACCTCTGCTGGTGATGCTCTCCTGGTTGACCTCACTCAGGTGGGCGACGCTGCCCTGGTTGGAGCCGGCTCCCATGCTCTCCCCGTCCATCGAGTTCCAACCAAACAGAGTCGCCTCAGAAATTGCAAACTGTTGCATGATACCTGAAGATGGAGATAAACAATGCATGTAGCAAGAATGAAAAAATCCCCCGACTCGCTAAAACATCATGAGCGTGAAGCAAATCCCAGTCCCTGCTCTGGTACCACATACACATGTTAATTAATGATACAACGACAGTCATTAATATGGATAAACAGCAGGTTTGTGTTGGATTGGAGGAGAATACTGAGGGTTTATTAGACTCATTTTCAAAGAAAGTGCATCACCCTGTTTTTTCTCTGAAAGTGCTGCAGTCATCAATTACCAGCGACAGCTCAGCTAAATATTACCTAAAAATCTGATCAATGTTTCATTTTCTGAAACAACACAAGGTCGTCTAATAACATTTCAGACTTCGTTTTGTTTTAATAAATAGCTGCAATGTTCTGAAAGTGACTGCCAAGTATTTGTTATAAGTTTAATAAATCTTTTGTATTCATGTAATTCTAGCCATTAATCAGCATGAGATGAACAAATTTGTAGGATAGATTGATTGTGAATAAAATATGGACGCACAGTTATGGTCTCTGAAAAAATTAGGAAAAATTGGACAGGATGCAAGTTGGCTTCACTTTCCAGACTCTTTATATCCTGTTTACTGACTTTTTTTTTTTAAAACAATTTGCCATTTGTTATTTATGTTTACTAAAAAGTTTACCTTTAGTCTTATATACATAATGACAACCTGCTCATGCAACAGACAACCAAGAAGTCATCCAGTTGTTGAGTGTGCAACACTTTCAACCTCTGGTTGCGCATCACAAGAGCAAGGTAGTTGCAGAGGTTGCATGGTGGGAGGCAACCTGTCACCAGACAACGGTGGTCTGACTTGGACTCACTGCAGTTTCTTTCAGAAAGATTAGTGATGATTTGCAAACGCAGGCACTTCAGCAACTCAGTCTGCGCTGAGCAAAACTCATCTGCGATGCAGCTTTTTGCAATATAGGACTCAACTCAGCTGTTTGTCCTCGTGGTTGTATTCTGGGTATATTTCTAACAAAAGCAAGATTTCTAAGCTCCTCCTTTCCTCACAGCAAGAAGGTCCCGAGTTCATTTCCACCATCAGGCTGGGTTTTCTGTGTGGAGTTTGCATGTTCACAGGTGTGAATGTGAGTGCGAATGGTTGTCTGTCTCTATGTGTTAGCCCTGCGACAGCCTGGCAACCTGTCCAGGGTGTATTCTGCCTCTTGCCCTAAGTCACCTGGGATAGTCTCCAGCCCCCCCACGACCCTGAACAGGATAAATGGAAGAGAATGGATGGATGCACTAATTAATCATTTTCAATATTATCATAAATAGATTGCAAGCTTGACTCCATTTAATCACAAACTGATAACATACTGATTGCGAGTAATCACAGAGCCGCTGTCCGTCTGTGGACCAACCACTTCAAAGGCGACAAGATTGCAAAATCATTGCACAAGTTTCCTCAATGCGACTGAAGCATTAGTGCAGCATATTTGCAAATTCAGCACTCAGGTGTGTCCTCACCTGCAGCAAAGCGAGCCTCCTTCTCGCCATCGCTAAGGTCACTGTAAGCGTCGTTCTCCATCCTCCTCTCCTTTTCCCTCTGAAGGTTGGTATGGCCCGCTCCCCCTAGCGGCCCCGCAGATGGTTTGCCCCAGCTCTGCCACTCTATCATGTGGGCCACTCGACCCTGGGCCATGGCGGTGGGCTTGGTCACCTTGTCCTTCATGGAGCGAGTCACACCTACAGGAGGTATGAGGGCGGCAGGAGGGGCAGACCAGCAACACACACGTACAACACACACCACACACACACACACACACACACACACACACACACAAAAACTGTGTCAAAACTACTTCTGGCCCCTGCAGTTGACTACACCTCCATCTGAGGCTCATGTGGGGGTTGGGGTGGGGGTAGGAGTAGAATGATAATGAGAAATGTGAGGGTCTGTTTAACACTTGAGATGATGATAGGAAATGTTAGCTCAGTAATAAATGAATTTGTGATTGAACGTGATTTTATGACAACAACATGGCACCTATTTAATTTCATTAATCTATAAAAACGCATTCAGTAGTATGCTAGGATCATCAGAATGAGCATGGATGTATTTGTGGGTGAACTGGTGTTTCATTATTTCCAAAGAAGCTCTGCTGACTGCAGTAATATTCAGTCCTTTGGACAGCTTCTAGTCACACCGGCCATGTTTCAGAAGCATTTAGTCTGCACGGGTCTTTTTGTTATTATAATAAGCCTTCCTCAAGAGGAACATGCTAATATTTATCTCTCTGTGGACCACATTAAACTCTGACCTTTAAACCACTGCTGCCTTTGATTTTCTGTGTGTGGACCTGAGGATATCAGCTGTCAGCAGTCAACTCGTTTTAAATGTGTCACCTCGGTTATTACCCCAGTACTAATCATCACAACGAGCGTGACAGTCACTCCTTGGCTTCTACAGTGAGACAAATTGTTTAAGATAATAATGATAAGTGCTGCGATAGTACAAGATGTTTGATTCAGTATGAGACTTTCTTTGTTTGGCATGTGAGTACTCCCCAGGGAGACCCAGATGCGTACTCATACTGGTCAAAAAGTTGAGTGTAGACACTCAGTGTGGTGGAGAAACTTCTAGCAACCACTCACCAACCGTTCAGGTTATACACATTTTTCAACCTGTGGTTGCCATGGTGAAGGGATCAGCCAAAAGAAGAAGCAATCACTGACCAGTCTACAGGCCAGTGCAGCCAGGATCTAAGCAGAAGATTTGAACCAGAGCTGTGTGCCCTCACAGATCCTAAAACACTAATATTTTTTTTCCATTTTTTTTTATTTCTCTTTTGTAAAACTGAAACATGGCTCTTAAAAGCCATAACTCCACAAATACGTTGTAACTTGACTGATAATATGGAAGAAGCCAGCATATCAATGTGACACAAATTGAAAATATTTTAAAATTAATAATTGCAAGATGGTTTATTAGCTATTAGCCCTAGCATAAAAATAAATATACATTTTTGTATCATATAACTCTCTATCATCTTTATTCACTGCTGAATCTTCATTTGTATGCACAGCAAACCATGCTTAATCTTTGGTCAGGTGATTGGCAGGAATGATGAGGTCAGAGGTCATCGTGGTTGCCCATGTGCTTGTTAAAGTTTGCTCATTTTAACAAAGAACAAAGGATGTCGAGTGAAATGCTGACGAACCCACATTAATAATTACAAGAATTGCTCATTTTCTTGTAAACAGAATGAATGAGGTTCATTAGAATTTACGTGATTAAAAATGTTTTACGGAGCCGAAGAGAGGCAGAAGAAATAGTCCCTCGGTGTAAACAGAACAGGGAGAAGTGTCCACCGGCAAATCTCTGTCCAATTAAGATGCAAATATAGGCTCCAAACTGGGGACATATTCACTGACTCAAATGGGTACGGAGACACTGATCGATTAAAAAATTAAATTAAAATCCAGCAGGCATGAATAAACAAAGAGCGAGCTTTGGAAATTGCTCCCCCGGTCCATGGGGCAAGTAACAGGCTGGGCTAAAAATAGAAACACTTTTCCTCTTAGACAAAGCGAGCCAATCTCATTTGAAAATCAAACAGTCCCTGCAGAGCCTAATTGGGGATGGAAATAGGTGGAAAGAATGGGGATGAAGGATGAGGGAGGGTGTTGGGGTCTTGGCTATTCAAAGGCTCAAAAATATAACACTATACACTGTTAAAAGATAGCTGCAGATGTATTTAAAGTGCACCAGACACAACAGAAAATACATTTTTTACATAAACACTCTGAGATGCTGCACTCAGACAACAAAGAGCACTACAGTTTGAAGCACAGAGCAAGAGAGAGCACGAAAGAGGCACCGGCCACTTGTAGTCACGACACTGCACAACAGAGTCACAAATATCGGGCCACACCACCAACACCACCACCAGCAGCAGCACTGCCACGGTACAAATACACTACATTTCCCAACACACCTGTGGAGATGCTTCAGTAAGTAATTAAAGTAAGTATTCTTACTTACTTTAGTTTCTTTGAAATCAAAGATCTGATTGAATTTCCATCAATGACTCTGAAATGTGTCCCGTCATTGACGTCTGCTGTTGATATCAGTGGAAGAGAGAGGAAAGTAGGGAGTGATATAGGAAGGGGCACCCACAGGGGCGGCCATGTTGGTTCCAAGCTCCTCCTCCTCCTTCGCCTGCTCTAGAGTGAAGTTGTTTGTTAAGTCAGAGTTTCATTTACAAAGTCCATTGCCGTTTATGGCAATTTGAAAAGATAATTAAACATGTTTTCTTCAAGGGTGTCAGATGATTCTTTGGCCTGCAAGCAGTGCAGAAACCAAGTGATGGAAGAAGCATAGTGGAGATTTTATCAAGCAAACAGATCTCAGAGGCTGCCCTGGAGGTAAAAACATGTCCGTTTGTTATGTTAAACCAAGGTTCAACTTAACAAAGAGCATTTGACATGTAAGATGTGTAATTGTAAGTTTTGTGCTTTCAGTTTGTGAGGCTCTTGTGTTTTTCATATTCGGTCTAATGAAAGCACAACTTCTTCACCCTGAAGTCCTCCTAAACTCCTTTGTTCACAGGCTATCGAGGTGCCATGAAAAATGTTCCTTCTTCCCATTAAAGGTTAAAAACTACCTGATTTCCATTTGGCCCATATCCCTTTCAAGGTCTTCTCCGGGTGCATCTATGGACTGCTGCCAGCACTGCTAATAATTTTTAGAGATCTCCTTGAAAGTCTTGCTCTGACCACCCTCACAAGTGGTTCTTGCCTTGGGGTTCTTTCTATAACATCCGAGGATATTTATCTTACAATATAAAGCACTTTACATGACTATTGTTGCTATATATGAAAAAATGAAAGTAAATTGAACTGAATTTTGGTTAAGATGGAAACACATCAGACACGTGGGGCAGGTTTTCATTACGTCAATGTAATGAAAACACTCCTTTCTGAACCATGAATGGGCAGGAAATGGGATGTACCACAGTTTTTGGTTGTTTGATGCTAATCGTCTTAGAACTTTTCAGAATAACTCTGATCCCGGTTGATGAGTACGCTTCTGTTTTTTCTAACTTGATGGACGATTTTTGAGGAGCTTGGACATCATGAGCTCATCTACTGATATTTGATGTTTGGACCCTTAACATGGAAGCCGGGTTGATGCTTGGTCTGTGTGTTTGAGGTCTGTGGTAAAACTGCAGATGCACACATGCAGACGGTCAGAGCGTGACTTCCATCAAGCAATCCCAAAATTAAGCTGTGCCATTGGCATGTTCACAGGGAGATGTCCTTAAAAGGAAGACTGACCAAATCTAAATGCGCTCAAATATTATAGTTATTTGGATTTTGGATAGTAAGCCAACTGTTCTTCTTTGGTGTTGGTGTTGTTTACAAAAAGCTTTAATAATCACAGGTTGATGGGGGCATGTGCTAACTACCACTGATGGTTCAGGAGGGGTTGTCTACACTGTATTAGGACGTAAGAAATTATTTACTGTTCAGAAGTTCTTTGATCAGTCAAACGACTCTTTTCACTGCATTTTTGCATTTGTTGTCAAATTGCATAGGCAGAGCTTTTCCAGATTTTATTTCCAGACTACTCTTTCTATTTTGTAGTTTATTATAACTGAAAGGTCAGCCTGCATCTTCTGTCTAAACCAGTGTGACTGCCACCGCTTTATCACCCTCTGAGAAAAGTTTGCAGAAGGGAAAAAAAACCCCACTCTGCAAAGAGGAATGAATGGTTTGGTTGCCTTAAATAAAGGGCAACACAACGATTTAAAGTTAAGTCAAAGTAATTACCAATTAGAAGAGAAAAATGACAAGAGATTACACAGTCCATTTAGCCTCATTTATACTGGTGATTCCCATTAAACCAAACCACACACTGATCATTTGGCTGCTGCACTAATGTGTCACCAACCAATCATCTGAATAACACGCAAGAAGAAACCAAAAATTATCTTTTGCACAGCAGGGAAAGGAGATGCAGCCCCTGCCAGAGCTCAACAACAACTTCACTCTTGATCCACCGTGGAGCATGTGGAGGCAACATGGGGGCTGTTTTACCATCTAGCAGCACAGACACACACCTGACACACCTGACAGAGAGGACTTAGCCAGGGCACCGATCCCATAGGTGTTGGTGGGCTTCCTCTTGAGACGAGGCAGAATGGAAGTAGTGTCCTCCATGGACAACTAAAGAGAGAGGAGAGGTAAATGTGGTATTGGTGCAGCACAGGGGTGGACAGAAGGAGGAGGAGAGATAATAGAACCAGAACAGGTGAGAGAGATAAATGCAAGAAAGGAAAAAAAAGGGAATAAAAGAAATTGAGGTGAAGAGGGCAGACGATACAAGACTCAGAAAACAGTCTGATGGAGTGAGAAAGAGAAGAGAGGTTGTAGCAGAGGAGATAAGATAGAAGGGTTAATTATTTGAGCACTTTGTAAATGGCTTACAGGGATCGTTGAAGAGAAGAGAATTATTGATATTCTGTGTCTCAAAGGAAAAATTAATGATAAAGTGTTGATTTAAAACCAAATTAAAAGGGTAGCAGTCTATTGTGAGCTCAGCAGCTATTATTTGACATAAAACCATCCTGAAAAATGTGATATTGAACAGATATTGAAGGCAGAGTGTTGTCGCATTACAAAGATTACCTGTAGCGCATTTTGCTGTGACTCCATTGTTGGATATTACTCACTGTCTCGTCTATCACCGTGAATGTTACCAACCCAAATATGCTCAGCTGTTTCTGCATTTTACCAGGAAAACGCTGGAGGCTTGTTGTGAATACATGAAGTCGTGAGACTGACACCAACAACCGCTCCTCAATTTACAAAATCAGGTCATACAATTAGTGTCAAACACCACTCTGTTGGATATCAGATGCCGTATATGTCGTATCGTATCTACAGAAATCCTGAACACTGAGCAGTAACTTTTTTTTCAGGTTTAAAACTCTGTGAGAGAGTGAGTTGCACGTTTTGTAAGCCGAGGAATGGTGGTTTGTGTTTTTTTGGGAGCTTTGCATTTTGCATTTGTTTTGTTTTCATAAACTTTATATCTTGGCTTTCCAGGTGTAACCAGACCCGATCCTTACTAAACCTTTGGTTTTCTCAAGCTGCAACAGTGCTTGTGTTTTTTTTCACCCAGCAAAGACTACATGTTAAAGATGGCGTCTAGCTCAGCTGCTACAATGGGACGCTCTCAAATCATTGGTTAAAGGTGTGGTAAGATTCAGCCAGGCACCGAGTGGTTCTTGGGGGCCTGGAGCCCTGGGACCCTGATCTCTGCTCGCACCGGCCTCTCGCGGCTTCGACTGCCCTTTGCCTCCGGTCCTTTGGGAGTCCCACACCTTAGCCGTGAGCGCCCCACTTAAGGCCTCACTCCTTCTCCTGCTGGGATGGGCGTGCAGATTTCACCAGGATGTGTGGCCTTGGGTCTTCAGTATTCGTGGCTGCCGATGGCCCGGTTCTCCCGGATCCATCTCTGTCTTTCTCTGACTCCTTAGGGGCTGTTATTACAACTTCCCACCCTCATTTTTAAGTGCATTTCATCACAGAGACACACACACTCTCTTTTTCACCCTCTCACACACACACACACACACACATTTTTTTCTCTTGCCTGTCCTCCCTTAAACATTGTCATACTGTATACCAAATATAATAGAAATAACACGAATAGAAATGATGAAATAAACAGATAAACCCTGAACAAGAGGAGCCTTGTACACAACAGTTCATTCAGCTCATTATTCTGCCCCACAGGACGGGATTTGTTTTTCCTCCTTTGTGCCGTATAGCCCACATTCACACTTACAAGTCGCATCTTAAGATTTCTCCAGTATTTAGTTCATAAAATAATGTGTAGAAATAATAATATGTTGATTTCAAGCTATGATCATTCAATGTTTCTTTTGACATTTATTGACAGGAGAGTAGAGCACGCAGGGAAGCAAAGAGAGAGCGAACAGGAAAGAGCAGACTCAAACCGAGGCCCCTGCAGTAACCTTTTCATCTGTGGGTGTTCTTGACGCAACCCTCACGTATCTTTGTGTTCTGATATAAGAGGAAATCACCTTGTTGGCGCTATATTTTTACGCTGATTTGAGATTTGTCTCAGGGACGTAAACTACAAGTTTATTTAATCAGGAAGTGAAATTATTTAGATTAGGAATCCTGAGCCGTGATAGGCCGAATTAAACGGGCTTATTTGAAAAAAAAAACCCCACAAGAACGGAGGAGAACATCCAAAATTCACAGAGAAATCAGCTGTAGTATTGTTAACATCCAAAACATCCCCAAACCTTGTCACCACCGCCACTGTTATAGGAACTTTCTGCTGAACCGCCAATCAAAAGATGTGCAGACAACTCAGCTTAGCCAAGGGGCGATTGCTAAATTACAGGTACCAAGACCAGAACAAGTGACATGGATAACTACCAGCACAAACAAAAGATGCATGTTTGGTTTTCGGAGTAAACGGTCCATTAAAGTGAGATGTTTTTGTCTTTTATGAATCAACCAGAAGGTCCCCAAAGGAGAATAATTTAAAGTGAAATTTCAAACATAAGTCAACAACAACATACTAATAATGAGAACCTAGATGCTGTTCCTTTCCTGTACACTTAAATAGCTGAATGTTGAACAGTTTTCAAAGCTATAGTTATTCCATAAAAACACTCATGTGTACAGTAAACTTGTGTTACTTCCCGGCAGCAGAGCTCCTGGCAAACAAAGCCAAAAATTAATGAACTCAGAGACTGAGCCCGGCTCTTAATGAGGCCCTCCCAGCGGCTAATTACAGTAAGAAATAATAGGGAAGCACATGGACTCTGTTACACGGGAGGATTTTGTGAGAGATATGATGTAATATTTTGAGTCAAGGTGTATGACTCACAATAAAAAGGCATACTGATATGATCTGGTCCCTCTGTGGTGTGCAAGTGGAGCATCATCCACACGCTCCTACTTTAAACTGCCTGCATGCACCAGTAACATTATTTGGTGTTGTTGCTGGGCAGCCAGAGAGTCAACAGGCATACAGATGAAACTATTACAGCAATCTTCTTCCATTAGTCGTGTATCTGCTCGACTCTGTTTCTCCTCAAATATAATAAACCACAGGTGGACGCCTATTTTGCAACTAAAACCATTGTTCTCCATTAAAATCCTCCTCCAGTCCTTCCAGCAAAGCACAGCCATAGCTAAACCAATATGGCAGAGAAGTGTTTTAATGTGCATTAATCAGCATTTGGTTTTATTTGTAAGGTTAAAAGGGTCACATATTCATATTCATATGCTACATAACTTTGCCGCCCCCTTTCGCTTATGGTTTTTCATTCACTGCATTGTTCAGGCTCACAGCAGGCAACCTCAGCTGCTCTCTACTGCTTTGATTAAACCACTGCAATCACTCCACTCTGTACTGCCAAACAACAGATTGGAGCTGATGGAATATTGAAGAGTGTATGGAGCCAGGATAGGAGCTTAAAGGATCCCGAACTTTAAGATGTATGAACTGACGTTCTTTGCTAACAGCAGAAACAACTTTCTAAAGCAGTAATATGCAAAAGACCCTAGCCTCATTAGCCTGTTTCATGAGCTCTTAATATGCCTTCATATGATCTTAAAATCACTCTACACTAACATTCAGAATGTGGTTTCCTATTAATATACCATAAACCAGAACAGAGTTGTGTTACAAGAATAGCAAAACAAACACAAACTTTCGTCTTTTTGGAGAGTTTTAAAATGTACTTAAAACAAAATGTACTCTGAAGTAGCTGAATAATGTTTCCCAATTTCCAAATAGCTGAACATTGAAGCTTTCATGCAATGGTGTGTACTCCCTTCATCCTTATTGGTGAAGCTGACAGATGAAAATGTGTGACGGATGTGTTCCTTAGACCTGAGTTTGGCAGCACTGGTGTTTTCCTACTGTGTTTAGTTTGTGTTCTTCTTTAAAGGGAGTAGTACACTCCAGTCACCCAGTTCTTAAAAGAAATATAGTCGAGTTTCATTATAAAGCTCCTTTGCTCTCAGCTAAACAGATTAATTTCTTTTTGCTCTGCAAAGTTGTCTTCATGTATGCAAGTATGATCCGTTAGCATTCTCCCAATAAACTCAAGTGAAGTAACACAATGTGCCACTGGGACTCAGGATGTTGGGGTCTGAAAATATGTATGCCTACATATATATACACTGTAAAAAAATTGTAATATAAAAGTATTTACCGTGTATTTTACAGTTTTGTACTGTTCTTCTAGAGTATCATTAAATGTACATAAATGGACTGATTTTACATTTCAAATGTAAATTAACGTAAAATCACTGTAAATGTAATAAAACATAATTTCCTTGTTTTTTAAATGTATTTGTCTGTACATGTGCATATTTAGATTGTTAAAAT